GGTTCGAATGGGACATCCGATGTCTGAAAAACAACAGTTTCAGTCAGAAGACCAAACAGGAGAGGAGCAGTCAGTGAACCACAGAAGAAGAAAAACTGACCCGTGTCTTAGCCTGCCGGTACTTCCTTGCTGACGTAACGGTCAGACGCTTCCCGTTGACCTTCGGTGGATTTGGCTTTAGGCCCCAGTCGCGCCATCTCTCCGCGTTCCTCATGGCATTCCTCCATCTCGATGAAACCACTGACGACCAAACAGACAGTCAAGACCTCAGAAGAGTCTGTGCTGAACCCGGTTCTGTACCGGTTCTGTGCTGGTTCTGTACTGGACCGGTTCTGTAACTGGACCCGGTTTCTGTACAGTTCTGGGTACTGGAAACGTTCTGTACCGGTTCTGTAACTGGACCCGGTTCTTGTACGGTTCTGTACTGGACTCCCGGTTCTGTACCCGTTCTGTACCGTACCTCTCTCTTCAGCCGGTTGAGGAAGTACTTCCTGACTCTCCCGAACGGCTCGGCCAGTTTCAGGATGGCGTCGTCGGAGTATTTACTGCTGGGGATCTGACCGATGTACACCACCTTACTGGAGCCGCACTGAGCAACAAACAAACAAACAAACAACAACAGTAAACTCTCTTACAGAATCCTGTGGTTTCTGAGCGGTGAGTGGACGGGCTGGTTTCTATGGTGACACTGAACAACCACTGGTGGCGCCGTTAACATCAGTTTAATGACACTCGTGCGAGGTGTTCACCTGGATGGTCGGGTAGCTCATGGAGTGACTGACTCTCACCGGACGGCCGCACACCGACGCCGTCACGTTACTGTTGTAAAACTTGGCCATCGCTCGAGCTTCTTCCTCTGTCCCGAACTGAAGGTACGCCTGATGAGGAAGAGACAGGGAGAGTCAGGGAGAGACGGGGAGAGTCGGGAAGAGACAGACATATGCAGACTGTGGATGCTTCCACCCTGCAGGGGGCGCTGTTACCTCAGGTCTCAGGTCCAGGACCAGGTGTTTGACCACTTTCCCAAAAGGTTTGGCGAGTCCGAGCAGCTCGGTGAGGAAGTTGTAACCTCGTCTGAACCCGACGATGTTGACCACCCTCATACCCTGAAAACAGAGTCAAACCTTTAACTGTTCCCATTATTTGATGCTTTTGATTTCCAGAGTCCGACAGGAGTTTCGGTTTAAAGGAGCCATTTCGTAAGGTCTGTATGAGGACAGAGAATACGTACCCCTCTCCTCGTGTTGTCTGCAGAGGAGAAGAGACACAAACAGAAGATCAGTGTCTGATCCTCGTGTACATTTTAATCCTAAACAGCAGCTCCAACTCTAAATAATCAGGTACCCAAAGAGCCCGACTCCCCGTCTGCTTCGTCCTCGTCCTCTGCCAGTTCGTCCAGCGTCACAAAGTCCTCCATGTTCTCCAGGAAGTCCCGATCAAACTGAACAACACAAACATCATAAACATCATAAACATCATGGTTCTGTTTCTGTTTTATTACTACTATGATTCTCTGAGTCTGAAGCACCATTACTGGGCCTGAGACGCTGTAGTAGCAGTGAGCTTCACATATTAACATTTACAGTGTTTACAGTGTGAGTTCAGGAGAAGTTGGGAGTTAAACTATATATTATAATATAATATATAATCAATAAACAGTATTGATCAGGGTTCATTAAGCGTACCGTGTCTGCAGGCAGGTCTCCCTCCACCGTCTCTGAACTCTCTCCTGCTTCTGCGTTCGGGTCCTCTTTGGTCTCGTGTTCTTCGGTCTCTGACGGTTGCGTCACTCCCTCTGACTCCGCCCCCTGCTTGGCGTTGAAGTCTCGAGGAGTGTCATCGGTGACATCATCACCATGAGGAACCTGTGAACAGGTGAGTGTGTCTGAGAGCTGACAGCAGCTTTAATGGACATAATTAACTTTATTATTTCTTCACCTCCTCCTGTTGGACCTCCTCCGACTCCTCCACCGTTTCCTTTGCAGACTCTGTTCTCTCTGGCTCCTCCTCCGCTGCGTCTCCATCAGTTACCTGCTCCTCCCCCACCTCCTCCTCTCCGTCCTCTCCCTCCATCACTCCTGACACCTCCTCCTCCTCCGCTGCAGGTTTCTCCTCAGGTTTCAGTTTACTCTCCTCCTCCTTCTTCTTCTCCTCTCTGGTTCTGGAGCTGGACGAGGAGTTCCTGAGAGAGCCGGAGGAAGTCCTGGTCCCAGAGGTAGAGGAGGAGGAGGTGAAGGAGGAGGTGGCGTTTGCTCCACCGCTCCTCTGGCTTCGATTGTCTCCACCAGAACCTCCACCGGACCCGCCCTGTCTCCGGTTCACACTGAAACACACAAATGTTTGGTTTTTAACTGCAGCCACTGGGAGGTAACAGACACAGCAAGACTCTTATTTTTATTGTCAGCTGTGAACCATCGCTCTCTAGTGCAGGTGTCTCAGTGCAGGTGTGTCCTCAGCACTCACTTGAGGGTCTTGTACTTGGTGCAGATGTTGAGGCGGATGGGTCTCCCTTTGATGGTGAGCGGGTTCACACTGTAATACTTGACCAGCATCTCTGCGTCCTCCGGTGTCCCCAGCTGGACAAACGCCTGGACACACAGACAGACAGTCAGACAGTCAGAGAGACAGACAGACAGAGAGACAGACAGACAGAGTCAGAGAGACAGACAGACAGA